TGTTGTACTTTTTCAAAAACTGTTTTTAAATTTTTGAATGTAAATCAATGTTCTCGCTAGTTGTTTGCTCAAGAAAGGGGAATCACCTTTGTCGTTATTAATTGATGTATAGTTTTAAGAGGAAAGGGAAATTGCAGCGTGAAGGATGAATTAGATCTGGATTAGTAAGTCACTGAGTTTTTTTGATTATCTTAATATTTATAAAATAGGATTTCACGGTTTATTCCATTGCCCAAAAAATGACTGATACCTCGAGTTTCAGAAGTTTGATTCGGTTTTGTTTCCTCGTGCTTTTGGCTTCTTAACTTCAGTTCATGAAATGCGTCACACTTTGGAAGCTGTTTATGATATCACTATTGCTTATGGACAAGCGAGGTGAAACCGTTCTAAATTGATTTACTTTTACTGGACAAGGTTCTACTTTTTCTAAATGACTTATCTCGTATGTTTGACGTCCTGCAAAAAATCATTTTTTTTTTTTATTATTTGCTTACCAAAGTTTTGTTCTTGAAGGGACTCGAAGAGATTACGCCAGGCTCCAAATATGTTTGAATTTGTTTGCGGTACGGAAAGTGCAAAACATTACAGATCAATTCATTTCCACATTCGTCGGTTTAGTATTAACGAAATACCTAAAGGGGATGAAGACGTGAAAAAGTGGCTTGCTGAGAGATACATTTACAAAAACTCGTAAGTCGTATTTGCCGTTTTTAGAACACGGTCTTCAGTTCTTCATATCCTACAACCTTTTAAAAACTTCATCGCAGTGTGTCATGTAATCGTCTTCAATCAGTTGCCTTGTTTTACTTCGTAAAAAGTGGCACGTTTTGTTTTTGGGATTGTTTTTACTGTAATTGTTAAGGATTCTGGAAGATTTTTACAATGGTAAAGGCCTACCGGATCTTGTCGTGGCTGATGCAAACTCCCTACCACTGAGCAAGACATTTCCGCCGGCTTGTTTCTTCTTCTGTTGTATTCTCACTTCTGCTTTTTTCACAATACCTCGAAGGATTTTTATTACTACAGTTATTTCTTCTCCACTGCTAATACTTTGGTTAAAAATTCGTCGAGCGTTTTAACGATGTAGTCTTATTTATATCTAATGTCTTGGTTCTTAGAATGCATCATTTTCTTCTCTGAAGATTAAGTGGTCAAAAAATTTCTTGTTTTGCGAGATGATAGTTACAAGCTGCGAGAGATTTATCTGTAACTTATTGTATTTGGAGAAGAAGCTGGTGGTATTAAGTGTGTTTTTGTTAATGAGGACATTTTTGAGGGATGTGCTTCTGAGTAGAAGAGAACAAGAGAATTCTTTCGACAGCCACTTTTTTAAATTTTTTGTTTCTTTATTCTTGATTTTATTATTAATACGTGTAATGTTATATCTGGGTTTTACTATACTCCTTGGCTTAAAGCGTCTCACTATTTTCTTTCAGGATCAGACAGCTACCTGCTTTTCAATGCGTCTGAAGCTTATTAGCTTTTCTGACTGTCTTTCACTGAGTATTTGCTTTGCTCAATGTTTCGTTTGTTGCTTTGAAGTTTATACTGCCTTTTTCATATCAGAAATGCTGTATTATTTCAAGTTCTTTCATACATACTGGTAAGAATGATTTGTCATTAATGAAGGTGTTTGAAGCTTCGCACAATAATTTTTGTTTTTTTGTTATGGAATACTGCTAGTATGTGACATCAGTTTTCACAGTTTGTATTCACTGTGCGGATTGATTACTAATTGTTGCTCTTTCGAGTAGGCCTTTTTTGATTTTTTGATTTTTTATAGGTTGTACTTAGCTAACGCTATAGAAAACATAGTTACTTCCCGATTGAACCTTTATTTGCTTCATGGGCTTACAGAGAAAAGCCTTTTAGGATGTGAGATATTCACTTCATTTGTTCTTGAAATTTCTTTTTTGACTGAGGTTCCTTCAGTTTTCTTGATTGACACCACGTTACAATGGTCATTTTAACTTAATTTCCCAAATGATATTTATTTTTGACTAATTCATTTTCCGCATGTCAAAAACTTTTATTGGGATGCATAAGTTTTTACTGCGTTTCCCATTGCTAGATAGTTTTTGAAGAGCTCTTTGAGTGGAGCATGCAATTTGGCAAACAGTATCAAGGCCACTAAATGTCACATCATTTCGGAAATTTTTTGAAATTTCAGTAGTTTGCTGGCTGTTTAGTGGCAGAACGCAACAATTTCAAAAGAAATTTTTGTTTCAAAGCGGATTTAGAGGTCCAGTATTGTATTCAAACAATATTTTTGTCAATTCTGAAACAGTGGATTCAGATATGATAAAAGAACCACTCTGAAAGTATATAAAGGAAAAACCTCTTGATTTGATCATCAGTAAATTTGCCCAACATCTCCACTAAAGATAACGTTTTTAAGTTGCGGTTTTGTCGAGGCAATTTCTTGCGAATCGCCTTCGCAGCTGGGATTTTTTCTCAGACCAATTAAGTTATTTTTTACTTCTTCCAACAGTCCGGCATTATAAATGTTTTTCATAGCTAAACTGAGGTCCTAATGCGTTGCTGCATCGTAGATGATGAAAGGGCATAGATGAATTGCGGTGGCACTTCTTTACGACCGTCATAGAGGTGTCGTACGTCACTGGTGGTTTAAACTTCGTTTAGCCTGAAAAAAGGCGTTTTAAAAAAGTTAGGTTTTGTAGTTCCGAATGAATTTGATTGTTGGTATGAAATATAAAATGTTATTGCGAGTAAGCAATGACCCAAAAATTCCTTTTTTTTTATTTTTCTAATAGGAGATGGGGTTTTAGCACTGGCATGCAGTTTATTAAGTATGTTGTCGCTCTCGCGATAAATGTGGTTTTCTTTGGGTAGTCTTAGTATGCGAGAGGGGATTCAAAAGTGTCAATGTATACCAGAGGTAGTTGTATAATCTAAGTATACTCATAAAATCGTGCCAAAATGACAGATGCTGATGTTGAGTTCTCAGGAACCACTTTTATAAAAAATTTAAAGATGAGCATTTAAAGTGTCACATTTACTGTTAAAGTGCCTAGATTTTAATTTCAATTACCAAGCAGATTCTAATGAACTGTTATTTTAGTTTATTTTAGTTTGCTGCTTGAATATTCTACCTGTTTCGGAAATAAAAACTGGTAAACTTTTTAAAAAAGCGAGGTGGAAATTTGTATCGGAAGCTACAGAATTTTGAGAAAGAATTCATTTTTTTTGTTTTGTCGTCCGTTGATACACGAAAATTGCTAACAACTATATTGCAGGCATAGGCATTGATTTTACGATGGGTTGAAAGAAGTGAGATGTCAAGGAAAAAACTTTTCTTGACGAAGCGCGTCGACTTGGGAAGGGTGAAAATTTGGTTGGTAATGTCGTTGAAGAATTAAGGCAGGCTGATTTGTAATAGTCGGTCGAAATACAATCTGCAAAATCAGTCCTTCGCTTAATTCTATGTTACTGGGCGGTCACGAAAGGCATGAAAGAGACAAGAAAATTGGCGAAATAATTAAAATTCAAATAGTGCCACGTCGGGCTTTTCAGTGGCTCTGTAAGGCTCGTATTACTCCGGAAGGATATTGGATGGGTGGCGACATGTTTCTTCTGGTCAAAAATGATATCATACATGGTATTATCAAAGTCGAGATTGGCAGTGTAGCCATTCAGTTCTTTAGCGATGTTAACACTGCTCTTATGTTGGCTCGGAAAATACCAAAAGCCTGAGAGTTTTGCAGCTGAGTTAAATTATTTTAAGCTTTATTATTATTATCATTATTATTATTATTATTATCATTAT